TCACCGATTTGCCGATCCGGATCGGTTTTTTGGAAGCCCGATCCGGATCACCGATCCGTTTTTTAAACCATTGCTCTAAACATATTTATTAGCAAACTCGCCAGTTCCTCAATGCAAATCAAATTTTTCTCACCTTTGTTGTGGTAGGACCTATATGACCTTGGCGCCAGAAAATTTGTCGTAACAATGCCAAAGAATATTGGATGTAGTCCTGCTATGAGAGCTCTTCATGGAGGCAACTGCCTTCCTCTGGGCACTGAGCTTTCTGAAGCTAACAACTACTTGACAGAGGCATCCTTGACTGTGTTAGAAGAATCATCATTCCATATTAAATTCATCTTCTTCGACCAAATAGTGTTTATGAAACCCAGGACCACAAACCCACAAAGTTATGGTAAATTTCTTACTCTTATGATACCTCGGAAGATTATTTCTACTGAATAGTTTGAGCAATCTATGTTAAAACGATCCTCTGGGGTGATCTACACCATCCAATTTTTGGATCGAGTGTGTCGCCTTGCCCAGTAGTCCTGTGATGGGTAGGCGGCATTCGTGCTATTTAGGTGAACTGTCAGTGCACAGATCTATAGCCCATGGGTTTTGTGTGATTATATGCTCCTGCAGACGCAAAAAGTATATTTATTCTCATGGGCAGAAACCATCCTTGGGTAGGAGTGGCAATGGACCCACCGAGACCCAGGACCCGACCGGTAAACCCGATCTCAGATCCAAGTATGGGTCCAAATTTCAGTCTTGAAAGGTCAGGTCTGGGTCTAAAATTTGGATCTGAATACTATTCGGGTCCAGATCCTGGTCCGACCCGTTGCCACCCCTGTCCTTGGGGTTTTCTTAGACCCAACAATTTGAGGATGTTCGTTAGAACCCCATACAAAAATCCGGCTTCAACAATGAACAAAGACAACCCAATTTTTAGATGATCGGATCTACGTGTTTATGAATTCAAATTAAACTTTTTCTTTTAAGATCATGGATCCAATGATTCTAAAGTGGTTCCCATAATTTGAAAATAAAATTTCCCATCATGTTGGGTTTTTCCCACAAGACCTGCTCCCAAGTTGACCACATGCACCTAAAATTAAAATAAAAGAAGATGATGCATAAGAAGCGAAAAGATTTGCAGCTCTCACTGGAGCACACTGTTCATTTAAAATTAAAACTAGGAGTATTTTTAGGATCGCAAATTTTGAGAATCTAAGCTCTTGAATTTAGCAACCAACTTCAAATTAAAAAGAAAATAAAAGAAAAATTGCATATCATCTAGTGATCTTGTAAATTTGAACATCTCAAGATTGAACAAGGACCATTCAATTTTCGGAGGGCAAGATTTAAGTATTAATTAACTGAAAATCCAATATTTCAAAAAATAATCATCTAGTAGTTCCTAGGTGGATTCTAAAATTTCTTATTAAAAAAAGCTACTCCTAGGTAGCTATTTTGCCTGAGTTAATATGAAGTATGCTCCAGCAAAAATATACCATACATTTTCACATAAGAATATTGTGTCAAACACACGACCAATTATAATAAAACATGCACAATTTTCTAAAGGGTGAGGTTTTTATAAGGTGTCCATTTTATAATATTGAAGTAAAGTGCACCGCAAAGCTATGCCAAAAGATATGGTTTCAATGTCGAAAAACTTTGTAAACACTTGAAATCTTGAAAATGAATGGTCCATATAGTGTATTAGAAGATGAACTATTTTTAAGAGTTAAAATATTATTTTTATATCTATAAATCTCAAGGTCCAGATAATGAATTGAAGGGCTTTCCAATATCAAAGCAACCTTCTCCAGTAGATTTTTTTTAAATGTACATCATTTCTACGGTATAAGGCTTGCACCTTATATGAACTTTTCCTTTTGTAAAAAAAAAAATTTGTTTCAACCCAATTTTTCTTTCAAATTTACTTTATATACTCTCTCTAAAGCATTAAGTGATTTTGCCAACCCCATCACTATCCAAAATTCATCGCGCGGTCACGATTATCTGTTAGTGTTTCATTTTTTTTCGAGAAAGCAGAATGACTTGAAATTTGGAATGTGTATTCATCAAAAATAGGAAAATCTTCAAAAAATATAAAAAAAATATTTTACGTGAAAAAATTGATCAAAATAACACCAAAACGTTTCGGACTTATTTTGGTCTATTTTTTTTCGCAGATAATTTTGTTTATATTTTTATTAGATGTGGCTCAGTAAGATGTACATACCCTTCAAATTTCAGGTCATTCCAATTTGTAAAAACAAAATGAAAAATAAAATACTACGAACAATCGTGATCGCGCGATGAAATTTGAACGGTGATGAGGGTAAGCGAAATCAATATTTATTTTCGCCTATAGGAATTGGGAAGACTTTTCCATATATATATATATATATATATATATATA